TGTAGTTTTCAATAAAGTGCAGTCTTTTTATACCCTTGCAGAGGGTATTATAATTTTGGTCAAAAGTGTGCCACGCAGTGAAGGAGACATCTCCGACCCTATAAAGTATACATATATATTCTTGATCAGGATCACCTCCTGAGTTGATTTGAGCCTGTCCGTCTGTCTGTCTGTTTCTACGCGAACTAGTCTCTCAGTTTTAAAGCTATCGTCTTGAAACTTTGCACACACCCCTCTTTCCTTTGCACGCAGTATATTAAGTCGGAATGGCCCGGATCGGCCGACTATATCCTATAGCTGGAATATAACTGAACGATCGAAAATTACCCACCTTTCGTGTTTTTGAAGTTAGAAAGCTGAAACTTAGTACAGATTCTATATTGATCAGTTGATCCAACCTACCAAATTTCATTAGGATCGGCCGACTATATCCTATAGCTGCCATATAACTGAACGATCGGAAATGGTTTTTGGTAGAAATACTAACTTTGGTATTGTTAAAGATAGAAGTTTGGACTTGTTTTTAATTTTGGTTTATAATAAATTGGGTTATATTATCATATTATCATATTATATTTTTGGTCAGTTTATCTGATCTATCAAATTTCTTTGGTGTTTTAGAAGATAGAAGCTTGGGTCTTTGTTTTAGATATTTTATTGTAATTCATTGGTTTTATTATGATATTCTCATAAGGATCGACCAACTTTATCCGATGTTTGCGATATATATCTGGTTTTAGCTGCAAGGGTATATCAACTTCGGCTCCGCCCGAAGTTAGCTTTGCTTTCTTGTTTGTACTAAATTCGTTTCAAGCCAAAGCTTATAAAAATCGCCGAAATATAATGGTTTGCTTTGCAATTTTTCAGTGGCTATAAAAATAGGTTCTAGTGCCACCAACAGCAAGTTAATTTCCTCCCAATTTGATTCCGTTAACTGCAATGTTTCACTTAGGTTTTCTTTTGAAAACTCCTTATATACGCATACGTTTTTCAACATAGTGTACGTTGAGATCCACCTTGTTGGCACATCCAGTAGAGGTTGGGGATGTATCCATAATTTTAAAATAGTATTGTAATTTTTAAGTGTAATGTTATGCATTTTATTTGTTTACCTATAAGTCGGAGTTCGCAATGTTTTTATTATGGATCGTGCGATGCCGACAAGGAATCTCCGACTCCTCTCTTTTAGCAGGTCATGAACAGCTAATTGCATGGAATGGGCGGCACATCTAATCGAATGTATAGAGTGAACGCGAATATCTTTAATAAGGTCGTCATCGTCAAACTCGTCACAAAATTCAGAATTCAATTCTTTGTTCATGAAGTCGATCGCTTTAATGACATTCTTGCCATTGTCTGAAGTGACAGTGTAGACTTGCTCCTTTTTTATTAAAAACTCGTTCAGCACATTTTCAATTTTCATGCTTCATGGAGCGCAATCACTCCAAGCGTCTTTACTTCAATGCGGTTGACCTGTTGACCCACACTAGAAATATAACTAAATAAATTGAATTATTAAGGAATCCTTGATTATGTCCTTTAAGGACATTCGATACATCATTTGAAAGGTACTGCGCCACAGATCATTAAAATTTTTTAATGTTTTTTTAATAGTCCACTCGGTTCAGAAGTTATTCGCATTCAATTTTTATTTTCAATTTTTATAATAAAAATTGAATTGTAACACTTATTTTCAATTTTTTTAATAAAAATTGAATCATAATTTTTATTTTTATTTTTTTTATAAAAATTGAAAAATAATTCTTATTTTTAATTATTATTATAAAAATTGAAAATAAGAGTTATACTTCAATTTTAGCTATATAAATTGAAATAAAAGTTTATTGTGTTTCTGGATTCAGCGTTAAAAAATGGTATATGTGTCCTTTTCCCACTCCCCACAAAGGCTTTTTTGTCGTTCAATTTTTTTGAACTCATAAGTTTTATTTGCAGTCCCTGTAAAATTATTCCAAATGTTTCAATTAAGTGTCTGGAATGATCCTTTTTAGTGGCGATTTAGGTGCTTAAAAATGATACTTTTATGAGGATTATCTGTACTTGATCGGAAGGGTGAAAGCACTTATTTCTGTGTTTCTATTTTCTAGTTTCTATTTTCCTCTTAAAGAGCGACCGTTTTCAAGGAAAAGTACGCTCTTTCCAGACTCTTATTTGGGAACTTTATGATACAAAATGCTCATAAAAAACTATCGGAAAACTGTCAGAAAACGCCCAAATTGCTGGGTAAGAGCAGAGCATTCACTGAGCGAAAAAAAGTAATTTTTTTTTTGATTTTTCGTTAATTCAAAAGCTGGAATGGGCACTAAAATAATGTATTTTATTTTAAAGAAAACTTTGCTAGTAACAGTTCTTTAACAAATGAAAAACTACGCTTCCCTATCTATATTTTTTATGGAAAAAACCCAATTTCTTAGAATATTTTTCGCAGTGGAAACATTTTGATTTTTGCTGTTTTTGCTGTCAAAATGGAAGAAAATGAGAGAGCTTCTAAAAAAATAATATAATATACTGACTCACACTGTCAGTGTGCCGGCAGCGCTGCGGCAGCATTTCCTATCCTATGCACGCGTGCTATGGAAAATGAGAGTTTGCCCATCCACTGATTTAGATCGAACGCTTACATTTTTTTCCTGTATATAGTAGTTTCCTCGCGCACACTAAGGCATGCGGTTCGTCACCTACGTGGATTGCCGTTCACAGTAATTAGCTAATAGCTAGCTCGAGGTCAGTTCGCCAGTTCATCACTTACGGAGACTGCAGTCCACAGTGATCAGTAATGAATACATTGTCGTAGCTTAGTTTTTTCTTCGGTGGTGGCAGTTATTGGCGTCATTGCTACTTTTTCCTAAATATTAAAAAAAACGGTTTAATTTTAATTTTTAATTTGCTATTACCTTGTCACTGCCTATTGAAAGCAAGGATTCGTAGATAGCTGTGACAGTATCTATCATGTGACGCAGTGACGAAACGGACGGACCCTGCATTGAGGGAATATCTAATAGGCGTGAAATACAATCAAAAACAAGAAAGGAAAGCTAACTTCGGGCGGAGCCGAAGTTTATATACCCTTGCAGTTAAAACCGGATATATATCGCAAACATCGGATATAGTTGGCCGATCCTTATGAACACATCATAATAAAACCAATTAATTAAAATAAAAAATCTAAAACAAGTCCCAAGCTTCTATCTTCAAAAATAAGAAAGTTGATATTTCTACCAAATATCAATATATAGTTGGCCGATCCTAATGAAATTTCCTAGGTCGGATTAACTGACCAAAAATATAATCTGTACCAAATTTCTATCTTCAAAAACACGAAAGTTGGGTCATTTCCGATCGTTCAGTTATATGGCAGCTATAAGATATAGTCGGCCGATCCTTATGAAATTTGGCATGTCGTGTTATTTTGCCAAATAGCTCTCATGTGAAATTTGAACTCTCTAACTCTAAAAACACCGAAGTTATACCATTTCCGATCAATCAGTTATATGGCAGCTATAGGATATAGTCGGCCGATCCCGGCTGTTCCGACTTATATACTGCGTGCAAAGGAAAGAAGGGTGTGTGCAAAGTTTCAAGACGATAGCTTCAAAACTGAGAGACTAGTTCGCGTAGAAACGGACAGACAGACGGACAGACGGACAGACGGACAGACGGACATGCTCATATCAACTCAGGAGGTGATCCTGATCAAGAATATATATACTTTATAGGGTCGGAGATGTCTCCTTCACTGCGTTGCACACTTTTGGACAAAATTATAATACCCTCTGCAAGGGTATAACAAGAAAGGAAAGCTAACTTTGGGCGGAGCCGAAGTTGATATACCCTTGCAGTTAAAACCGGATATATATCGCAATCATCGGATATAGAATATCATAATAAAACCAATTAATTACAATAAAATATCTAAAACAAAGACCCAAGCTTCTATCTTCTAAAATACCAAAGAAATTCGATAGGTGAGATAAACTGACCAAAAATATAATCTGTACAAAGTTCCAACTTTCTATCTTTAAAAACACGAAAATTGCGTCATTTCCAATTGTTCAGTTATATGGCAGCTATAGGATATAGTGGGCCGATTCTTTTTAAATTTGGTAGGTCGTATTATTGTGCACTTTTTTTTGCACTCATGCAAAATCCGAACGCTCTAACTCTAAAAACACCAAAGTTATACCATTTCCGGTCAATCTGTTATATGGCAGCTATTGGATATAGTCGGCGGATCCCGGCCGTTCCGACTTATATACTGCGTGCAAAGGAAAGAGGGGTGTGTGCCCCCTCAGTTCCAAGTCGAGTTTCAAGTCGATAGCTTTAAAACTGAGAGACTACTTCGCGAAGAAACATACAGACAGACGGACATGCTTATATCAACTCAGGAGGTGATCCTGATCAAGAATTTATGTACTTTATAATGTTGGAGATGTCTCCTTCACTGTGTTGCACACTTTTGATCAAAATTATAATACCCTCTGCAAGGGTATAATAAGCCAAAAAAACACTTTTGGGCGTGTATGTACATATGTGTTCGTGTAGTGCGTAGTAGTTAATGCTTGTAATTAGACTTATGCTCAATATCTTTTTGAATGTACATATGTACATAAATACAAGTCAATGTATCCTTTTTTGACATTTTTTCTATTATTCTGCCTTTTTTTCTTTTCGTCCTGATCATGAATTAAGAGAATTCATTAAAAAAATTAAAATCGTCAGAAAAAAAATAATAATAGTTAAAAAAATTGAATAATTGTATCTTAAATATTTAAAATAAAATATAATACAAATTGTTTACAGATTATAACTTAAGAGTTGAAAGCTTAAGATTCTAACAGGTAGCATTCGACTGAACTTGATTGGTTCTCTTTTTGAAAAAAATGTCTTTCCTCGTTCTTAAACACTTCACAAAATATTTTTTGTATGTATATATACATATAAGCGTTTGATTCGAGTATAAGTAGTAGCATCCTCAGTTTGTGGCCAACAGTTCGGTTTCCAACGAGCGTGCGTAGAGTCCGCCCGCAACAGCGCTAATCAAATATTTTTCAAGGAGCTGAGTGAGTGTGAGTAAAATAATGAGGTTTAAACGCCTAAGTTCTAGAATTGTGTTGCAGGGTAAAATCACAGAACAGATTTTGAATACACATTAATCAATGGGGTTTGGTGTGTGATCGTGAAACGAATAAATAATGCAGCTTACCTGAATGTACACCAAACAATGGAAGTTAACGATTTTATTAAATTAAAAAGTCCACACAAGTCTCAGCTACAAGTGATCAACCTCGAAGACTTGCATATTTATGTATATCACCTGGTCCGATAAATCTAAAGCAAATAGCGCTTTTCTTAACGTGGGAGGAAAGTTTTAAAACCGGACGCACATATTGAGGACCCGAGAGATAGCTGAGTTCTTAGCGTTCAATGAACTCCTACTAGCTTCGAGAACCCGACCAGTTTCGTTAACCCTTCCATGTTGAATATTTCAACACTTGTTCAACAGCTTTAATCACAATTTGCTTATGACTACTTTTGACGCTTACTTTTTTATTACCTTTGAAAATATACATCTTATTTATAATATAAACATAAATACTAAAAGAAAGGTTATACCTTTTTAGCTAAGTTATATTTCAAATTAATGTTCATCAGACCATATATAGGTATATGTCTTTTCAGGCCTCTTTGAAATATTTTAAAAGGGTATTCGGTATTCCTTCCATTCTTTTTAGTTTTCATAATATTTGCGATGTTACGTATTCTTTCTTTTTTGGACAATGACCGGGAAGACTGAAAAATAAAAACCAGTTATCATCAGTATACTCTTAACCCAATTTGAAGAATATTTGCATATTTGCCTTCTAGAGAGTTGGTACACAAATATTCTGATTTTTTACTGATTAACTGATAAAACTCTGATTTATTAAACTGATTGTGCAACCTACGACTGAAATTTAATTTGAACTATGTTTACATTATGTTTATAATATGGGAAGTAATATATATCGCACATGCATCGCACAAAAAAATGTGTGTACCTATATTTCAAATTTGTATTGTTTTGGAGTATTTCAAATTTATATTGTATTTGAATAATTTCCTATAGAGCTTTTCAAAAACAGGTCAGGTTGACCTGACCTTGCTATCAGGAGACACTCTAATATTTGGGTCTGAAAGTAATATTTAAAAGTGTTCACAGCTATTTGAGGATTCTCTTTTCTTATTTGAATTTCTAACTTGAAATAAGATTGATTGCCTTTCAGTTCTTTTAATCGAACGGATTTAATTAGTCACAAAATAGAAAAAAAATTTAAAAATCAACAGTTTGGTTGGAGTTTACAAGTTGGCAGGCGTTTTATAATGAATGTCATTGTTTTTGGCTTGGGAAAGATAACTTGTTTTTGGGACTGAGTTTTAAATGTCAAAGAACTTGATTTATTTTATTTTCTCCAAAAATAACTCTCATACATATTAAGTGTTTAAAAAAAGGTAAGTTTACACGGGCCGACAGCATTCCCTTTTCTCTATATCCCTTGGTGTCCCCTGAAAAAAAGTCCAAAACAAACATACATAGATTGTGTTTCCAACCGAATATATATTGCAAACATCGAATGTAGTGGGCCGATCCTTATGAGGATATCATAACAAAACCAATTAATTACAATAAAATATCTAAAAAAAAAGTCCCAAGCTTCTATCTTCAAAAATACCAAAGTAGGTATTTCTACCAAATACCATTTCCGAGCGTTCAGTTATATGGCAACTATAAGATACAGTCGTCCGATCGTTATGAAATTTGGTAGGTTGGATCAACTGACCAAAAATATAATCTGTACTAAGTTTCAGCTTTCTGTCTCTGTCTCTCTCTCAAACTAGTCTCTCAGTTTTAAAGCTATCGTCTTGAAACTTTGCCCACACCCTTCTTTCCTTTGCACGCAGTATATACATATGTAAGTCGGAACGACCGGGATCGGCCGACCGGGATCCTATAGTTGCCATACAACTGATTGATCGGAAATGGTATAACTTTGGTGTTTTTAGAGTTAGAGAGTTAAAATTTTACATGAGAGCTATTTATGTCAAATAATAAGTCTAGGGTGACCAGATAGCTGAGGTGGAAAATACGGACACCACCGTTTTCTCGTTTCCATACTTTTCAAGTTTTCGAAAACAAAATTGTTCCGTTCGTCGCTCCATTGAATATTAACAAGTGAAAAAACGCGTTCGCAATTTGCGTTGTGACAGGGAATCGCAAAGAAATATTGAGCAATTTTGAGTATTTCAGAACATGATTCAAGACAACTGTTAGCAGAAAGAAAATCACAGACTTTTTCATTGCTACTTTTTTTGAAAAATCATCTCTTGCTTCATTTTCTTGCTTTTCTTTTTCATTCAAAATTTTTTTTAAATTAACAAACTGGTCGAACAATTTTGAATCATCAATTTGAATATTTTTGGATGCGAGAAATGCAACAGATTTTTCAACAGATTCATACCTCAAATCTTTTCCTGGCTTGAAATTTAACCATTCGTAGTCTTCCAAACGACGCAATGACTGGATCCATTTCAGCAAATAATCACAAGATCTTTCATACACTACAAGCATGGATTCTGTAAAGTTTTGACACTCAGTTTCTTTACCTTCATTTGTTAGCTTTTGCATTTTCTGCTTGACTGCGAATGGTATAAATTTCGAATAAGGTCTTTCAGTCAAAGTCTCCGATACTTCGTCAATGATTTGCAAAACTTCTAGAACAGAATTGTCTTCGCGTTCGATGCTTTTGATTCTATTGTAAAAGACATTCATAAGTGAACTTATAAACAGCAATTGCAATTCCGCAAAATCATCTTTGAAAAAAACGCTCTAAAATAATTGGCGGATGGTCAATTATAGTGGTTATAGTGGATAAAAAAAACTATTTCAGAGCTGGAAAAATTTGGAAAATTCGATCAACGCTTGGCTTGAGGGTTAGCCATCGTGTTTTGCTGTGAGATAGCAGTTTCCTGTACTCCACGTCAACGAAATCGCAAAAATTCTTTAATTGATTTGTCCGAACAGGGTAAATCGAGAAGTGATTGAAAATTTTCATTACAATACATTCAATGTCGAAAGAACCGAACCGATCTATGCCATGGTGAGCTGAATTGTTCATGACATGGCCTGAACACCCAATGCCAATGATATTTTGGTTGATTTCACGCCTTAAATAAGTAAATACGTTTTCTCCTTCTTTGTTTCTCAGTCAAAACATGTTTATCCAATTCACTTTTTATCATTTTAGCAATAGTTTGAGGTTTTTCATCAAACTTTTCTTTGATATTTAACAATTTGACAACTATCCCTCCTTCAGCAGGATCAAAATATTGGACTATCAATGGGAACATTTTCAAATTACCATGATTACTCGAATCAGTGCCTATACTAAAGAAAGGTGTCTTTTTCAAATCTTGCACTACCATTTCAATGGAATGAAAAGATAGAACCTGATTTACAATAGCTTCGGTTTTTGTACAAGAAACTTTTTTTCCTTTCCTGCCAAAGAGTGAGCGAATGAGTTGACTTGTGCAGTCCATGGATATGTACCTTTGATGATGTTTTATGGTGTGGTATGCCAAAGTTCCTTCAGCCGCCCAAACTGCATGTGCCTCTGTTGCTGATTTTTGATAAGTGAAGTCCAAATTGGAACGCGAAGTAGATGCATCTTGCACTTTTTTTGAATGTTTTGGTGTAGCGAGATGTTTTTCCAGATCACGTGTTCCTACAATTTCACAAGAGCAATCAGGCGATATTTCATGAAAGAAGAAAAAATTCAAACCACTATTTGCAACTGACACCTTACAATCACAAAAATGCAATCAGCAAAATATGCAGATTTATTTTAAAAACTACGAAAATAAGTTTTTCTCAACTCCTCTGTAAATGTACACTTGCGTTTGGTTGAATTCGGCGTGGTTTTCAAGCGTTTGTGATCGGGTGACTCGGACATTATGCCGTGTTAATTGTCACAAGCTTGTTGTCCCTGTCGGGTGTCAGGTTAGATTTTGCTTTACCGAATTTCGCGTTGAAAACATTCAGACCATTCGATTACTTGAAACCTGAACTTCCAGGATCTACAACAACAAGTACACTTTTTTTTACAATAAAGCTCTCAACTAATCTAATCGTAATAAGCGTTTATAAAACATTCAGAATACTTACGAGTTTGTTGTTTTGTTACAGATTGACTGATTGAGAATAAAAAAGTCAGCTGTTACAGATATACACAAAACAACGTTATAAGCAATGTACATATGTACGCGACAGTCCGAATAACCAGACGCAATCGTCCCATATTTCTAGGGAATTTTACCGTATAACGCGTGTTAAACTGATTGCGCGTCCTCTACGTCAACTGCGAGCGCGGGCGCTTTCGAATGTTTAAGTCTAGAAACTCATTTCGGAAAAATTGCAGGTGCAACCTGTATTTTCGTTAAAAACGCGAAAAATACGGAGATTTTACAAAAAAATACGGACTAACGGGCACAGAGCTGAAAATACGGACATGTCCGTATTAATACGGACGCCTGGTCACCCTAAATAAGACATGCCAAATTTCATAAGGCCGACTATATCCTATAGCTGCCATATAACTGAACGATCGAAAATGACCCAACTTTCGTGTTTTTGAATACAGAATTTTATAAGGTCGGAATTGGTATTTGGTAAAAAAACTTTGGTATTTTATGTATTCTAAAAAAATAGGTTTTCTAATAAACTTCTCATCAGGATCGGCCAACTATAACCGATGTTTTTGATTTATGTATATTCGACATTAACTGCAAGGGTATCTACTGTGACTATACACGAAGTTTGCTTTGTTTTCCTGTTTATTATATAGACTGGTTAAGAATATTCATAAGACATTTACATAAATAATATATATAGTATATGAATATTATATTTATATTAAATATGCTTAATAATTTTAAATTTGGTTTACAGGTAACATATAAAGAAATGTTGCGCCCTGCGCTTACCTGGCGATTGGTAAGTAAAATTCTGTACATTTTTCTTCAGTACAAACAGTAGACTATACAGTATATTTTATAAAACAGGATAAAAGAATGTTTGCGCGTTTGACATTCAATACGATCATAAAACTGTTTAATTTTTTCCCAACATAATTTAGTTCATTCTCTATAAATAAAAGCACAAAAACAAAAATGCAGTTGGAATTCGTATTGGTTTTTATTCAATTAAAAACTAAAGGAACAGATTTATTTGCATGAAAAAACTGCGCCATCTAGCTTAACTTAAATTTTTTCGATAAATGTATTAAAAAACGTTGGTTTTAACAATTTTATAAGTTTAAGCATGTTGTTAAGTTTAAGCATTCGATTGGGAGTAGAGTCACAAATTTGTTAAATATTCCAACATTATTGTTAACTAAGCCTCTATTATACCGCAAATTAAATACTTCTTGGTACCAAATTGCTTGTCACCCCCTTACACCTTCCTAGCCAACCATCCCCAGACGTTTTCTACTATGTTTAAGTCTGGGGAGTATGGCATGATTTGAGCATTGTCGTATTGGAAATGTCATTTCACATTTCCAAATAAGTTTGTAAAGAACGGAAATGCACTTTTTAGAACGCAATTATAATTTTCGCACTTGCCATAATAGGATATGGCACCCCATACCATTACTACTCCAACCCGTCTATGAAAGCGATCCAATTGATTCTCTTCCTTATGTAAATCGTTTTTAGTTTAGCCCCTTTAAATGGCCACTTTTCCTCATCACCCTTAAATAAGAAAAAAATACGTTTTAAAAACATTTTTATACCCTTGTAGAGGGTATTATAATTTTGGGCAAAAGTGTGCAACGCAGTGAAGGAGACATCTCCGACGCTACAAAGTATATGTATCCCTGATCAGGATCACCTTCTGTGTTGATATGAGCATGTCCGTCTGTCCATCTGTCTGTTTCTACGCAAACTAGTCTTTCAGTTTTAAAGCTATGAAACTTTGCACACACCCCTTTTTCCTTTTCACGCAAAATTTAAGTCGGAACTGCCGGGTATCGACCGACTAACTTATTATTGGAACTTATTGATCGGAAATGCCATAACTTTGGTGTTTTAAGAGTTAGATATAATTGACCGATCCTTATGAGAATATTATAATAAAATCAGTTTATTAAAATAAAAAATTTTAAAAAAAAGTCCCAAGCTTCTATTTTCAAAAATATTTTTTTAATTTTTTTAATTTTGAACATTCAGGTGCTATGTGCATTTTATTTGACACATTTTGTAACGGCGCACATTCGTATCGAAGCACCCGAAATTCATGTAGGACCCAAGTTCCAACCTACGTTCATTCGATCAGCAGTGGAGAGTACGCCATTAGAAGAAAACGCTGAAGTTCATAGTCGCTTCAGTATGAATCCTATCCCTGGAAATATGTTCATACCTCTTCGAAGCGCTGTAGAAAGTGTGCCAACAGTAAATAAGGAAATCGTAGCGCAGTTAAAAAAAAACAGAGACCACCGTTATTTTGTGAGAGATTCAGTTGAAGCACCACCAAGTGATGACGAAGAGGAAAACGTAGAAAAAGAATTCAAAAACTATGTTTCAGATATAGCCAACACCAATAATGAATTTAAGCCAGATCCCTGGACGGTTTCCGATAAATATGCTGCCTTTATTACATCTGAGCATTCTAATCATAACTATCCACAGCCGTATCGAGAGGGCTCTCCGAATCAGCAACTACTGAAGACAGTGGATATCGAACATCTGGAAAACATTGAAGAATTAGAATCTTATACAGTGCAGAAACCTTATGGCGCATTAGCACAACTAAGCCAGCCAAATCTTGAACCCTCTTATGGAGCTCTATCACAAAAAAATCTTAATTTATCACCCAAGGTTCTATGTTATATGTCAAATTGGGCCTTTTACCGCAAAGGTGACGGTCACTTTGTTCCCGAGAATGTTGACAAAAATCTTTGTTCGACCATTATTTACTCATTTGCTTCGCTTGACCCTGACCTCTTGACTATTCGTGAGTTTGATCCGTGGGTGGATTTGGAGAACCAGTTTTATCGCCGCGTAACTTCACTTAATGTTCCTGTTATGATTGCAATGGGGGGCTGGACGGACTCTAGCGGCGACAAGTATTCACGACTAGCTGGCGATGAAATCAAGCGAAAAGTATTTGCCTCCAGTGTGGTAAGCTTTTTGCAGCGTCATGGATTTAGTGGCCTGCATTTTGATTGGAACTATCCAAAGTGCTGGCAAAGCGATTGCGCTAAGGGACCTGCAAGCGATCGGCCAAATCTTACTATGTTGCTCCGTGAAGTACGAACTGAGTTCCAAAGAGTAAATAAGAAACTAATGCTTGGAGTGGCGATTTCGGGATACAAAGAAATTATTTCGGAAGCCTATGAACTCCCGGTACTGTCAGATATTGTAGATTATATGACGGTAATGACTTATGATTACCATGGTTTTTGGGAACGGCAAACTGGACATGTTAGTCCACTATACGGATCTAAATCAGATAAGTACCCACAATACAACACAGACTACACTATGCAGTTATTATTAAAGTTGGGCGCAAGACGTAATAAGTTAATTTTGAGCATACCCTTTTATGGACAAAGCTTTACTCTAGAAAAAAGTCTCCAAAACCTGGGCGGCGAAGGAATTCCAACAACTGGACCTGGAGAAGCTGGTGAGCTGACAAAGCAGCCAGGAATGCTGGCTTATTACGAAATTTGTCAACGCATAAGAAAATCTAAGTGGTTGAGTGGCCGGGACCCTACCAGGAAGTCTGGTCCTTATGCTTTGTTCAAGAACCAATGGGTAGGGTATGAGGATCCGTCAAGTATTGAAGCAAAGGCACGCTATGCCGCCAATAACAACTTTGCTGGTGTAGCAGCCTGGACTGTTGATTTAGATGACTTTAACAATCGCTGCTGCACTGAAACTTTTCCTCTTTTGAAAGCCATTAATCGTGGCTTAGGTCGATTAGATACAGAGCCGCCAAGTCAAGTTAATTGTGACCGTCCGTCGCCGGTATCTACCCCAGCACCTCCTCAAATGACCACTGTAAGTAATGATGGGTCAGCTAGTGTAGAACAGAATCACGAACACACTACCACTTGGCCAAGCTTTCAGGCAAACGATAATAGAACTACCACAAGGGTTCCAAAAAATACCACTAAAAAACCTACCTCCACCACAATTAATAATATTAACCACACATCTTGGTGGGGTTCTACTACAACTCGTCGACCTTCCAAGCCAACGAAAACCACTACTATACCAGTTCATACAACCTTACCGTTTCCAGCAGTAATTTATCCCATAGAGCAGGCGTTCATATGTACACCCGGTGAATTTTATGCTGACAAAAAGAATTGTAACGCCTATTACCACTGCATAATTTCTGGGGAGCTTCGGCAACAGTTTTGCCCCGGCGGTCTACACTGGAATAAAGATACAAAAGCATGTGACTGGCCGTCCTCCGCCAACTGTTTAATTAAAAGAGAACAGGAAAGTAGTTCCCCATTGCCTACACCATATACCACGAAGAAAACAAAAACAACAGAAAAGCCTAGCAGAAATCCAACTACATCATCTCGGCCAGTGATAAGCGCAATTTCTACTAAACGGCCAAACCAAACTACTCGTCGTCCACCCATATCAAGCCAATGTAACGAAGCGGAATACTATACACATAAAAACTGTGGAAAATATTATATCTGTGTAAATGGCGTCCTTGTGCCCAGCGAATGTGGTGGAAATCTTCACTGGGACGCTATTCGCAAAATATGCGACTGGCCAAAAAATGTTCAGTGTCTGACATCCAAGAAATATCTTAAGATTATTCAGGAAAGTCGTGCTAACGAAGAAGACCCGTGCAACGGGGAGGAAAGAGTACCCTATCCGGGTGACTGCTCAAAGTATCTTTTTTGTTTGTGGAACCGCTTGCAAGGCGCAGATTGCCCACCTGGACTGCACTACAACGAGGCTATTGGCAATTGCGACTGGCCGATTGCTTCAATGTGTATTTCTAATAACGGTGTAACTGGGCAAAGCTCTAAGCCACAAGCTCCCGCTAAGCCTGTACCCATCACTCAAAGACCGATTACAACTGCAAAACCAACTTATCCTACAGATAAACCAGTACTGGATCCATTAAATGGTCATTTTAAAGTAGTTTGTTATTTTACGAATTGGGCTTGGTACCGTAAGGGACTTGGCCGCTTTACTCCCGATGACATTAACACAGACCTGTGTACGCATGTGGTTTATGGATTTGCTGTACTGGACTATACAGAATTAATTTTGCGCACCCATGACTCCTGGGCAGATATTGACAATAAATTTTATATACGTGTAAGCAGTTTAAAAGAAAAGGGAATTAAAGTCAGTTTAGCACTCGGTGGCTGGAACGATTCACAGGGAGATAAATATAGTCGACTTATAAGAAGTCCTTCGGCCCGAGTTCGTTTTATCCGCCACGCCATCGAGTTCTTAGAAAAGTATGGATTTGAAGGTCTCGATCTAGATTGGGAATATCCAGTATGCTGGCAAACGGAATGCAATAGGGGATTTTCAGAGGAAAAGGAAGCATTCACTGCGTGGGTTAGGGAACTCTCTGAGGCATTCAGACCACGAGGATTGTTATTGTCTACGGCTGTCTCACCTAGTAAAAAAATAATTGATGCTGGCTATGATGTGCCGCAGATTTCTCGCTACTTTGATTGGATTGCTGTGATGACATATGACTTCCATGGACAATGGGACAAGAAGACAGGTCATGTAGCACCTCTGTATTATCATCCTGACGATGACGACAAATATTTTAACGCGGTAGGAAGTTTAAAAATATTAAATATACTTTAAAATTCTCATTATCTAATTAATAATAGAACTTTTCCCTAAACTATTGGATCGAGAAAGGGGCACCATCTCGAAAAATTATTATGGGTATGCCTTTGTACGGCCAGTCCTTTACTTTGGAAAATGCTAGCAACAACGGCTTAAATGCTAAAGCGCCGGGCCCCGGTCGGGCTGGGGAGTTTACGAAAGCAGCCGGATTTCTGGCGTTTTATGAGGTAAGAACTTTAAAATTGTGTATGCAGCATGCGATTAACAATAGTTTGTGGCTAAATTTATTTAGATTTGTGATCGAATTAAGAATCAAGGTTGGGAAGTTGTTCAAGATAATCTACGGCGTATGGGTCCGTATGCAAGAAAAGGAACTCAATGGGTATCCTACGACGATCCTGCTATGATCCGCCAAAAATCGGAATTAGTAAGGCGCTTAAACCTAGGCGGTGGTATGGTTTGGGCTCTCGATCTCGATGACTTTCATAATAGATGTGGGTATGGAGTGTATCCTCTTCTGCGAGAAATTCATGACGTTCTTAAATATCCACCAGGGGATTTTAAGCCAATAGGTAAGTTTCAAGATGGTTAGCATAATTCCTTACAAATAAATCATAATTTATTTTTTAGAATCTGTGGAAGAAGAAAATATTTCAGCTGAAATAGAGTCATCGTTGAATGGGGATGAATCTATAGAAGGTCCTAATGATGTCCAAACTGAAGAGGATTTAAATAACAATGAAGAAGCGTTACAAAACAACGAAGCGAATACCAATAATGACGTCGAAGAAATCGATTTAGAACTCGAATCGGACGTTCAAGTATCAAATATCAGTGCGAGATCGGACTTTAAAATCATTTGCTATTTTACTAATTGGGCGTGGTATCGACAGGATGGTGGAAAGTATCTTCCAGAGGACATCGATTCAGACCTGTGTACACATATTATTTATGGTTTCGCTGTGCTTAATCGCGATAATCTGACCATTCAGCCACACGATTCCTGGGCTGATCTAGACAATAATTTTTACGACAGAGTTGTGGTCCATCGAAAAAAAGGTGTTAAAGTTACAGTAGCCATTGGAGGATGGAATGACTCAGCCGGCGATAAATACGCTCGATTAGTGAGAAGTGCTAAGGCGAGAGCATTATTCATTGCCCATATTTTAAATTTTATTGAACAGTATGGATTTGACGGCTTGGATCTGGACTGGGAATACCCAGTATGCTGGCAGGTTGACTGTAAAAGAGGAAACGCTGATGAAAAACAAGGATTCACTACCTTAGTGCGAGAACTTTCCCAAGCTTTCCGACCAAGGGGCCTCCTTCTATCTGCAGCAGTATCCCCCAATAAAAAGGTTATTGATTCTGGATATGAAGTGCCTGAATTATCTAAATATTTTGACTGGATTGCTGTGATGGCTTACGATTATCATGGGCAGTGGGACGGGAAAACGGGTCATGTGGCACCCATGTATGATCACCCCGATGGAGCTTCCACTTTTAACGCCAACTTCTCAATAAACTATTGGATAAAGAGTGGAGCTGATAGAAAAAAACTGGTGATGGGAATGCCAATGTACGGCCAATCTTTTTCTTTAGCTCAAATAAGTGATAATCAACTGAATGCACCGACTTACGGTGGGGGGGAAGCTGGTGTGGCTACAAGAGCCCGTGGATTTCTCTCTTATTATGAAATTTGTTCATATATCCGACACCGAGGATGGAACGTTGTGCGGGACCCTCGAGGCCGCATGGGACCATTTGCTTATTCTCGGGACCAATGGGTCTCTTTTGATGATGCGCCCATGATTCGGCATAAAAGCGAATATGTAAAGGCAATGGGTCTGGGAGGAGCCATGATCTGGGCCCTAGACCTGGACGACTTCAAAAATGACTGTGACTGTGAGTCTTACCCTTTACTTAAAACTATTAATCGTGTACTTCGTGGATACCGAGGACCGGCCCCAAAGTGCAGACTTGAAAAAACCGACAAAACAATGAGTAAGTAATCATTTACTTTCAAACTCCCATAATTTTAGGCATACTGATTTATATTTAATCAGTGTGAGTAGGAAAGTAAAAGTATGGTGATGAATATGGGCTTTAAAATTTTTTTTTCCTAGCTCACATAGTAGTGTGTTTCAGCAAATATTTCGTTGGCCACAGTTATTTAGATACTAGACAGATAATTATGTTAATAATAATTCTTTAATCTATTAAAGAACAACTTTAAACCCAATTGGTAATATACTTTGTTTGGTCATTGATGTTTTTAAATGACAATCCGCTCCGAAATAAAAGTCGAAATAAACAATTGCACGTTATAAGTTATTTATTCAAATTTCATAGACCAGTTTATAGTGCTAAGCAGTGACTTAATGTGACACCTTAATTTCAATGAAACTCACCATATATCAGAGATTTTGTAAAACGAAGAAAACTTTTAGATACAAAAAAACCCAAAAACAAGAAAGCAAAGCTAACTTCGGGCGTAGCCGAAGTTGATATACCCTTGCAGCTAAAACCGGATATATATCGCAAACATCGGATATAGTTGGCCGATCCTTATGGGAATATATAATCCAATTTATTACAATACAAAATCTAAAAAAAGTCTCAAGCTTCTATCTTCAAAAATACCAAAGTTGGTATTTCTACCAAAAACCATTTCCGATCGTACAGTTATATGGCAGCTATAGGATATAGTTGGCCAATCCTAATGAAATTTCCTAGGTCGGATTAACTGACCAAAAATATAATCTGTACCAAATTCCAGCTTTCTATCTTCAAAAACACGAAAGTTGGGTCATTTCCGATCGTTCAGTTATATGGCAGCTATAAGATATAGTCAACCGATCGTTATGAAATTTGGTAGATCGGATTAACTGACCAAAAATAGAATGTGTACCAAGTGCCAGCTTTCTATCATCAAAAACACGAAGTTTGGGTCATTTCCGATCGTTCAGTTATATGGCAGCCAAGACGATAGCTTCAAAACTGAGAGACTAGTTCGCGTAGAAACGGACAGAAAGACAGACGGACAGACAGACGGACAGACGGACATGCTCATATCAACTCAGGAGGTGATCCTGATCAAGAATATATATACTTTATAGGGTCGGAGATGTCTCCTTCACTGCGTTGCACACTTTTGGACAAAATTATAATACCCTCTGCAAGGGTATGGGCCTCTACATGTAACATAACACGTAACAATAAATTAAAATAAAACTAAAAAATAATTTAAATTAATTAATGAATTAAAAGCTGACAATGGCTGACAATTTAGAAATGCATCTATAATTATAATGCGTCTTATATTCTTTTTTCTTCCTTTCCCATGAGGGAAAATATCAAAGCGTCCAGAGATAGGTTGAAGAGTTTTACAGGGCCTCGGCGCAGTTTTTCAGAACATAAACTTGTACTCCATGGGGGTTTGGAAAATATTCGGGTTAAGCCTTAAGAAGTTCCGACAACAAACCACTTTTACAAAAAAATGGGAAAAAAGAAGGTTGGATATATAGGTGAAAGGCTCAGCCAGGGTAGTGGAAGGTGAATACGTTGTTTAAAAAACTGTGCAAAACAAGAAAGGAAAGCTAACTTCGGGCGGAGCCGAAGTTTATATACCCTTGCAGTTAAAACCGGATATATATCGCAAACATCGGATATAGTTGGCCGATCCTTATGGAAATAGGAATATATAATCCAATTTATTACGATACAAAATCTAAAAAAAGTCCCAAACTTCTATCTTCAAAAATACGAAAGTTGATATTTCTACCAAATACCATTTCCGATCGTTCAGTTATATGGCAGCTATGGGATATAGTCGGCCGATCCTAATGAAATTTGATGGGTTGGATCAACTGACCAAAAATAGAATCTGTATTAAATTCCAGCTTTCTATCTTCAAAAACACGAAAGTTGGGTCATTTCCGATCGTTCAGTTATATGGCAGCTATAGGATATAGTCGGCCGATCCTTATGAAATTTGGCATGACGTTATGTTTTGCCAAAAATAGCTCTCATGTCAAATTTGAACTCTCTAACTCTAAAAACACCAAAGTTATACCATTTCCGATCAATCAGTTATATGGCAGCTATAGGATATAGTCGGCCGATCCGGGCCGTTCCGACTTATATACTGCGTGCAAAGGAAAGAAGGGTGTGTGCAAAGTTTCAAGACGATAGCTTTAAAACTGAGAGACTAGTTCGCGTAGAAACAGACAGACGGACAGACAGACAGACGGACAGACGGACAGACGGACATGCTCATATCAACTCAGGAGGTGATCCTGATCAAGAATATATATACTTTATAGGGTCGGAGATGTCTCCTTCACTGCGTTGCACACTTTTGGACAAAATTATAATACCCTCTGCAAGGGTATAAAGATCGGCAATTCCCTGATCGGTATTTACCGATGAGTTTTTAAACGTAAACAGAGCACTGTTATAAAACTGTTTTGGATCCTAAGTAAACTGAATCCGGCAGCGGTGAATATAACTCTTATAACCCTCTTATAACTCCGTGTTTTGCAGTGTCAAGTTAGACCGAGGTTTTAAGTATCTCGAGTTACTAAATTATTTAGTTAGAGTAAACTAAATAGAGAGAGAAAACCTATTAGAGTAAATTAAGTTATTTACTATCATAAAATCCGAGTCCCGGAAGAAGATTCTATCTTAAAAAATACATTTCCCTAAAAATGTATTTTCCTAAAATTAGTTATACATATGAGAGCTTTACAATATAGTCGTTCCGACCAATATACGGCGTGCAAAGAAAAGAAGAATAATGTTAAATGTAAAAGCTCTAAAAATTAGGGATTTGTTTGCATAGAAGCAGACGGACATGCTTATATCGAATCAGGAGGTGATCCTGATCATCATGAAAAAATTAGAATACCCTTTGAAAGGGACTATAACCCTCTTTGAAGGGGAACTTTTGTACATGTACATGTAAACATAGCCTTATGGAAAACACTTAAAAAAATTAAAATATAATATGAATAAAATTAAAACAAGAAAATAAACGGAAACAATAACATAGAGAAGCTATCATTTCCGACCCCATTAAGTATACATATATGTATATTCTTGATCAGTATCATCAGAAGAGTCGATATAGCTTTGTCCATCTGTCCATCCGTCTGTCCATATGAACGCGTGGATCTCAGACTCTATAAGTGATAGGGCTATAGGATATAGGAAGGAAGTTATAGGAAGTTTGTTTTAAATATATGCCACGCTAAATTTCTGTAGCGGCAGTACTGAAAGTTTTTCGAAAAAATTGTGATGCCATTTCTATAGTTAGTTTATATATGAAAAAAATGTTATCCTAATACATTTTTGAAGGAGATATACCCATACTATAACCCATACAAACGGGCTAACTTTTGAACGCGTGGATCTCGAAAACTATAAGAGACAACTCCCGCCCCCAAAACGGAAATCTCGTTGTAGCGGCAGTTCGTTAAGATTTTTGGGAAATGTTTTAATGCCAAACTATTCAAATTGCTAATCTACACCTACAAATCCGTTTTTTTTAGTGGGGAATTTTTAGGGGAGTTATTTACTAAGGGTTGGTTAAAGTGTGTTTGAAAGAGAGGGGGTGGTGGATGTGCAAGGGGCAATAATATAGTTTGAAAACTCGATTATAACCGCCCTTTCTTGTTTTAAATTAAATGATACATAACTTTATAATCAATGAAACCATCTAAATATGCTTTATTTCGTTGGTGATGTTATTGTAATATCTGTTACACTTTCTTGAAGACCAAACGTCTAAATTAGTGGTGCTCAAAACCCTATCACACGAGGTTGGAAATATCTCTGCCTGCCCCTGCACACCAACACTTTTATCACGGACTTAACGGACTGTAAATGTTAAGTGTGTAAGTGTGTTTACGGGAGAATTCTACGTATCCGAACATGTAAAGTTTAACAGGTGAATGTATTTATGTGGGCTATGGTAATGACCTGGCTTTTTCTGGCATTATATATTACATGTGAACCATAAGAGGTTATTAAATGTAGTTTTTATGAAGGAGACATCTCCGACCCTATAAAGTATATATATTCTTGATCAGGATCACCTCCTGAGTTGATATGAGCATGTCCGTCTGTCCGTCTGTCTGTCTGTCTGTTTCTACGCGAACTAGAGTCTCAGTTTTAAAGCTATCGACTTGAAACTTTGCACACACCCCTCTTTCTTTTGCACGCAGTATATAAGTCGGAACGACCGGGATCGGTCGACTATATCCTATAGCTGCCATATAACTGAATGATCGGAAATGGTATAACTTTGGTGTTTTTAGAGTAAGAGAGTTCAAATTTGACATGAGAGCTATTTTTGGCAAAACATTACGACATGCCAGATTTCATAAGGATCGGCCGACTATATCCTATAGCTGCCATATAACTGAACGTTCGGAAGTGACCCAACTTTCGTGTTTTAGAAGATAGAAAGCTGGAATTTAGTACAGATTCTATTTTTGATCAGTTGATCCAACCTACCAAATTTCATTAGGATCGGCCGACTATAAGCTGCTGATTATAGCTGCCATATAACTGAACGATCGGAAATAGTATTTGGTAGAAATATCAACTTTCGCATATTTGAAGATAGAAGCTTGGGACTTTTTTTAGATTTTTTATTAATTTTTTAGTTAATTGGTTTTATTATGATATTCTCATAAGGATCGGCCCACTGTATCCAATGTTTGCGATATATATCCGGTTTTAACTGCAAGGGTATATCAACTTCGGCTCCGCCCGGAGTTAGCTTTCCTTTCTTGTTTGTATTATTTTGGTTTGGGCTATAGAAAGCCCGCCTCACACAAAAAATGAAAAAAATGGAAATTTTATATCAACCACTCGCGTGGCCACTAAAACAGTGGCTTCTGCTGGCCCGACAAACATAATAGTACCAATTTGTTACATTTTAACAATTTTGAACAAGCTACAATATATATTTAGATTTACAGCGAAATAATACGACA